GACTGTGCTTCAACAAAAAATAGCTGAAACTCATGTCAGTCTTGATTGATATTTATCAGCTGCTCTAAAAACAAGACTGTATTAGAGGATTTCATTATAGGCTATAACTACATGTTTTAAAATATCTAGTGCTGATTGCGGCTAACACAGAATTTAACATATTTATGCTACGTATTCCTTATGATAGAAATCACTAGTGCCATATACACAAGACTACTCTATCTGAGTCCCATCCTGCATGGCACTAAAATCATTTTGGCAGTTATTTCTCGGTTCAGTTGTTGCGATAGTATACTACCTCCTACACATACTATCCTAATGAACATTTTAGGAGGGGTGATGTGGAGCAAATAGACCACATTTCCCTAGAAAGCTCAAAACCTACACAGATGCCCTGGGTAGACCTAGACCAGACTGCTCATCTCACTTCACCGAGGGAACAAGTCAGGTAGCCCATCTGTAATGCACTGTTTAAACCCACGGAAATCTATCAGGCTCCTGGTGCTGGGCACTCAAAAGTAGAATGACAGAAAGTGATCTGAATCCCACCTGCCTCTGCAGGTACAGTTGCACTTTACTGTTTCAGGTAAATACCAGAAAAAGAGTGGGCACCTATTTGAGCCATCGAGATGAATGCTGGTAGGGTGTATTTTAGCACATGCACACATAATTAATTATTGCTGTTATTTGTAAACTTGGAGGAAAAGGAGTAGATGCCCAAGGGCTAATATCTTTCAAATTAAAGATAATTAATAACCTTCTTGGATGACTTCCTCCGTGCCAGGAACTGGCTAAAACCTTTACCTTTCTTATCTCATTTTATTTTCCCACAGTGACTTATTACTAGTCCATATTAAGGATGAAAAAAAAAAAACCCCAACAAACCTAGGGTAGAAAAAGAAGGAAGAGAGCCTGTTAACTGCTAACTATAGGTTCTAAAGACACAGAGCCTCTCCTGGAACCGCAGAGCAGGGATTAGCCTCTTAAACACAAGGCTTTACTACATCCCACAGCTGGAACATATTCTATCAGCTACTTGTTGTTGGCCTTGCTTTTACAAGTGGGTGGGCAGTTTTACATGTTCTTCTCCTTATCACCTTATGGAGTAAAATCAACCAGTCTGCTGCTTCCACACACAAGTTTACCCTTACGTGGGTATGCCTAAATACAACGTGAATGAGAATACTCCATCTCTGCTTGCGCTGCGGGGTGGGAGACAGGAACCCCATGAAGACACAAGCTCCCTTCCAATTTCTCTTCTTCAAAGTTTCCAGTCTCTCAAGACTCACTGTAAATGTAGATTAGGGGGGAAAAAAGTGTTTTACTTCTGCAGTTCCCTGAACAATTGACAATTCACAGGTTCTGTTGATCTACACTTTCCCTTTAAGATTTGACATTCAGATCGTGCTCTTGATTTTAATTTATTAGACAATGATTAATGTATAATAACAAACTATACCTAAGATTTTCTTTTGTTAAAGGGTTGAAATATAGATCTTTGGGTCCTTGGCCTTTAATTTATTAGCCTATGATTAGTGTATAATTTTATTAACTTGTACATTTGATTTTGTATTGTTTTAACATGGTCATAGCATATGCTAAATAATTTATTTTACTCAATGCACCTAGAGGAAAATTATCTTCAACGTGTACTAAAGTCAAAATCCCATTGTTTGTGTAATTAATATTCATGACTTTCAGTATTCATGAAATATTATAAACTGACAACATTACACCCTACTCAATTGTTTTTTTTTACTTTAAAATAATTATTCCATTTCCCTTCCACATTTAATGAATCTATTCACTACATTACATAATGCTTAATGTCTAAGCAGAGAAACTAAAACTGTAGATCTCAAGTTTCATTCTAATAAAACCACTAGGCACAATGCCACATAATTAATATTTACACTCAGATTTCAACCTAAGTATAGACACTATGGATATTCCATACTCTATCCTGGACTGTGAATCTTCCTAGGAGGTGAGAGTGGGTTGAATGACCCATATAACTCAATGGCACAAGAGGGCTGCCTCTGGGAGCCAGAAACAAGGAAGACAATCAAGGTGCAGTGGCCGAGGGGCTAAAGAACAGAAACCCTTCCTCGTCCAGGCACGCCACAGTAAGTGGCTGGGACTGCCTATCCTTCTTTCCAATGATAACTTCAGCTGTCATTTGTTTCATATTTTGATTTGTTTGAGATATGCCTGGCCTTTTCACTTCAACTAAGAAGGCTTGAATATCACATTTTTGGAATGCATTTGGATTGATAAAGAATCTCGGGAAGATTTACTAGTGGAAAACTGACCTTCTATAAAATTGGTTGTAAAGAGAGCGCAGAGCTTGCACATTACCTGAGAGTTACCAGGACCGTCTTACAATACGTGGATCAAATAAGTTACACAACACGTGATTTGATTTTGCATCCATTGATTCTCCCAGTGGGCACCTCTGCAATAACCAATAGAATTGGCTTTTCTGGGGGTCTAATTGTATTGGCTCCATCGCTCAATGGTGTCTGTCTTTTACATCATTAAGCAGCAATCTACCAAAGTCCTAGAGCCAGGGTAAATGGAGTTATAATGTGGATTAATTCTATATGCTGAATATCAACTTTAAAAAGAACCTTTAAAGGCATTCTTGAATGAGAGGTTCCTATACCAAAATGAAATAATAAAATCAACAAAATCTAATTTTATTTTTCCTTAGGCTTATTTTACCAATTATGCTGAGCCCAGTTCTATGCCCATCAAGATTACACTAATGCTTTTTTTTCTGAAAAAGCATCTAATAGGTTTTAAAATATAGATAATATTGATATATACACATATATTACTACACTATTTACCAAGCATTTTCAAAACATTTTAAGAGTTTAAAATTGTTTAAAAATTAGTTATTTATTACTTCAGATGGTTTTTGTGTAGCATTTCATACATCTGATCCCTACCGAATTTAAAAATCGCCTTAGGCTAACTAAGGTTTAAACCAAGCTGTATTTACTGTTGCACACTTTACAAGCACATTCTATTTGGGGAATACTCCTAAAGTTACAAATGTGCTACACCCTACATCCCACGTACCCTTCAACAAAACCCCAAATACACACAGTCACTGTAAATAGCAAGATAAATGACATCAGAATTGATCAAAAATGAAGCTGTTAAAGAGTAAGTTAAGTTGTACTAACTTTTAAAATCTTCAACTTTTTAAAGGTCTCATTCATAGTTCTATTCAAAAAATAGAACTGAAAGGAGTGATTTGCCTAACCCCTCAAATAATGTTTCTTTTGGGGAAAAATAAGTAAAGCTGCATTTTCTACAGCTCCATCTCTTAACTGCTATTCAATCTATGCTGCAGCATGGAAACAGATTTCAATTTACTCAGAATGAGATCTGTCCATAAATAATTAGCAAATTGATAGTAAAGAATAATTATGAGAAAATTGATAGAAAATAATTCAAACTGTAATACCCTGAGATAAATCATAGTTAACTGTACGTGGAAATTCATTAGCTTCATTTGGATACGTAGTTAGATGGCTAATTATGTTGAAAACGCAATGGAACTCTTAAACATATGTTAACTTCCCCAAGCCCTAGAAGGTGTTCTTTCTTCCTGAAGTCAAGTCATCCGTTAAATTTAAAAGATGTTTACATTTCATATCATCTTTAAAATCTGAAGGCAAGAATATGGGGAATTACTTGTCCATGTCAAAATACTCTATTACTTTACTTTCAAAAATCATATAATTTTCCTCTTTGTGGGACACATGTATCATCTGAGGTTTGTGAAGAACAGGCTTTAGCTTTAACTATTGAGGGTTTTTAAATTACCTCACAGGAAACCAATTTCTTTTTTTTTTTTAAGGCATGGTAATTGCTACAAATAACACAGCCCTTACCACTACCACCCCATGCCCCCTCCCTCCACAGATTCTACTCTTAGTGTGTTCTAGTTTCTTCTGTCTACTTTTAGGTTAATTTTTGTACATCCTTTGTATACCTTACATTTCTTACTGTAACTTTATCTAACAAGTGTACCTGTCTTCCTGTTTACTTAAAAGACCAATGCTACAGCCTATATTTGGTAATCATTAGACAGCCCTGAGAGTTGCTGGTCATCATGGGTAATACACAATTTCCAAGTCTTTCATGTATTCCTCCCCCCGGAGAAATGTATGCCGCTCTAACTTCTTGAAATTGCTCCTGCTAAGACGATCAATGCTTTTCTATTTGCCAAATCTATTCAAGCAATTTGGTCTTTCTTGTCAGGATTTCTGACTTATTGGACTACATGGACTATTTTTCTTCTGGAACCCTCTTCTTCATTTTTCTCAGAAACAAATTGGTCTCATCTCAGTTTTCTTTCAATGGCTCCTTTCTTCCTCCACCTACCCCTCCATCTTGGAATTCAGGAATCCTCTCTGCATTCTCTCTAGGGCAATCTTGTATACTCCTCTAGGTCTTTCCTAGTCAACACTAACTTCTCTTCACAAATCTAATCCATCTCTCTGGCTTGTCTGATTTTATCGCTACTTGGTCTTTTATATCAAATACTCAAACTAAATGAGTTCTATAATTTTTGATACTGTCTTTTAATACTCTCGCTCTCTCATTTGCTAAGCTGGAAACATCCATCATTCCAGAAGACTGATCTAATTAAGAGCAACCATTTTGTCTGGTCAATTTTTGTATCTCCAGCAGCTAGAATAATGCCTGATTCACAGAGGTTGCTCAATAAATATTTGTTGAATAATTAATTTCCCCTTTTCCTTTCTTTTCACATCCAGCTGGCTCTATTGATTTCTATAGCTTATTATTGACTACAACAAATGTGTTATCTCAAAAATCTATATATCTGAGTAAAATTTTTCTTCCAGACAATATGCAGCATACATTCTTTTCTTCTATACCTGCATATAGCTTTGAAAATTCATAATTCCAATCTCGGTGTTCCTCCGAATTTCCTAGTTTGTCAGAGCTTTGGACATCATTTCATTTTGTACAGAGTGTGAATCACAGGGTAAATCAACTGAGCTCCATTAGTACCTTCAAGTCATTTTTATTGTTTGTACTTCCCCCCACCACCAAATAGCCACATGTAAGTTCCTACATCCAATGGATGAGTACCCCTGAAAAATATGAATCCATAAATGAACGGTTTCTAATCTCAGTTGGGCCCTCAGCATTGATCAGCAGCACTTTCCCTTGCAATTGGTCAGCTCTCCATTTTCCCTTAGAGACTGTTCAGATCTGCTTCTAATTCTCTCCATCTCCTCCCTTCCTCTCTTCGAGATGATCACGTTTACTAATTATTTTAGAAATTTGAAGCTTCGATGGGCATGAAAGCCATCAATGCCTCCTAACTCCAGCACCCCCAAGTAGCAAGTTGTGGTACTATGATATTTTAGGGTTGCTTTTCCTCCCATCTCCCAGGGTAAGATCTGATCAAGGTCAAAATATCCAGGACACTCTTAATCCTGCCCACTGCTGAATCCTCTTGCCCTATGCTTTTTCAGTCATGTGTCTCTCCTGAGTCTTTAATGTCTCCCTTTCCAGTGATTCTTTCTCCTTGGATCAAATTATACTCAGCATCCTCAGTCTCTGCCTCTCTCACTAAATCTGTTACTGTGCTTGGCCCTTAAGTGCTAGGTATTCCCAGATTTCTATTCTTTTCTAAACTTTTCCAACCCTTTTCAATCCTGATGCTTTAATTAGGTGATCTCATCTCCCACCTCGAAATGAACAACTTTCAAATCTCTATCACCAGTTTTGATAAAACCTATGAATTTCAGGTATATATACCCAACTACCTACTGGATAAAATCACCCAACGTATGAAAATATTTGTAAATAGGATTATTTCTGCCCTTCTTTCAGCTCACCAAAAACTTGCTCATTTTCTTTGTTCTTTCTCTCAGGGACAATCTCCATTCTTCAGCCAATGGCTAAAGCTAGACATTCTGGGACAATGACTGACTCCTAACTTTTCTGTCAAAGACTTCTGGAAGGTTTTAATGTCATTTCTTAGAACCATCCTTATCTATCATCTTTGAAGACTCCTATATTTAGGTGTTTTGACCTGGCATGGAAAATATTGATAACTAAAGGTTATTGATTTTTTTAACATCCCAGTTATCTTCTGAATATTATGGATCCTGGGACAGATGCTCAGCTGCTTCTAAGTCATAGTCTTCCTTGGTACAAATTACTGCAAGTTTTCTTAAATTACTTTGTGTATTGATTCTACATTATATTCTTATAATTCTCTCAATTTTGCCGATTTCATAAATCCCAGAATATCTACCTGATCTGCTTTGTTGCAACAAAGAGTGAGATAACCCAATAAGAAGAGTTGGACACTGTCTTAAAAATTTGAGGTTTTAACAAGGATAATCTTGGCTCTTTCAGTAGAGAGCTAGTGCTTTCTATATATCAAGTCTATACAAATGCATTCATGTTGATTCCATCATTGCCTTCAGCAACCATTTGAGACTGGTATTTTTAATTTTCTTTATTTATCTTGAAAATATTTCATTTCACTCAATACACTCCTACCAACCAAATGTTGTATTTATTTTGTGAGTCAAAGATGATATTTTTTGCTTCTTAAATAACGCATATTTCATTTAAATACTTCACAAAGCTACTAAGTGTGTGGTCCTGACTGCCTCTAGCTTACTTGCCTTAACCTTTCTCCCAGCTTTTCCCCCTTTCCCTCCACTACTGGCTCCATATCTATTAACAACCATTCCTTGCTATACAGGACTTCCTATGCCATCAATTTCTGGAGGCCTATATGCCAGCTCCTTAGAGACCTAAGCTCTTTCTGAAGCTCTCTCAGTTAAGCTAGACTCTCTGCAGCTCCTTTCCTACCTCAAGGGATAAGCATTCTCCTTCCAGAAGCTTGAACTCCCTCCAATTCAGAGCTGAATCCTGAGAAGCCTGACTACTTTCCTTCTAGAGGAAACCTATCACAATATTTATTCTATCTCCTTTATTGATTCATTTTCTTTTTCTGTATCTTGTTAGTTTGATGCCAACTCAGTGTAATATGACATACACCATTCCACTTTGGGGATTCCCCAGATTCAAATCTAATTTTCTATCTTCTTCCATATTCTCATTTAAAAAATACATATTTACTTAAGTTATATGCACCCAATGTTCACAGCAGCAGTATTTACAACAGTTAATATATGGAAGCAACCTAAGTGTTCATCAGCAAATGAATGGAAAGACATGTGTGTATATACATATGCACACTCATCCCCAACACACAATGAAATATTACTCAGCCATAAAAAGAATGAAATTTTGCCATTTGCAACAACATGGATGGACCTGAAGGGTCCATTATGCTTAGTGAAATAAGTCAGGGAGAGAAAAACAAATACTGCATGTTATTACTTACATGTAGAATATAAAAAATAAGACAAATGAATGTAACAGAACAGAAACATATTCACAAATACAGAGAACAAACTAGTGGTTACAGTGGGAAGAGGATTTGGGGAGGGGGCAAGAGAGGGATAAAGGATTTAAAAATACAAACCAAATAAGTATGTATAATAAGTATGTATAACAATATAAGGATATATACACACACTATGTGTACAGATACGTAAGGATATATTGTATAGCACAGGGAATATAGCCAATATTTTATATTAACTTTAAATGGAGTATAAACTATTAAATCACTATGTTGTATATCTAAAGCTAATATTATAAATCAACTACAGTTTAATTTTTTTAATGAAATAAAAATTTAAAACTTTAAAATACATATTTATTTTCCTGATTCAACAATGCAATGTCCTTCCACTCATCTCTTCTAAGACCATTCCATTCTGCTACCCATGGTTCATGGTAAACAAATTCTCCTTCATTGTCCTTCTCCAAATGTTCTCCCATCTCTTAGCCTTAACTGGAAGCTGGCTCTCCCAGAGAACAGCAACTATGAAAGAAATATTATTGAAAGAGAAATTCTTCAGGTTTCATTTACAACTAAACTCACTTCAGTTTAGGTCACTCATACACTGTACCACTCAATCATGCTTTGTCAAAGTCACCAGTGAGTCCCTTGTCACTAATCCAATCCACTTATCAGTCTTTTTTAACATGACTTGCCTACAGCATTTGAAAATGTTGGCTACTCTTCAAATTTGGACATTTTTGAAATTCTCATTTCCTTGTCTTGCATAACAGCAATTGTCCTGGTTCTTCTTTATCTAGTACCCTTTACGTATTCTTTCTTTGAGCCATTTCTGTATAGTGGCCCTGGGTATTATGTCTTAGATATTACTCTCTTTTCATGCTGCATTCCCTCACTAGAGATAGCTTTCAGCACTATGACTCCAATTAACCTTATGTAGTTAAGTTTGTCAGTTGTGCAACTCCAGCCTAGATCTTTCATCTGAGTTCTATTCTAGTATATCCAACTGTGCTACAAACATCAACATTTGGCTGTCATAAAAGGATTTCAAACTTTTCATGTTCAAAATTGAGCTTCTCATCTCTTCCCTATGCTCACTTTCCCTCCCCATTTCCTTATTACAGAAAACAGCACATCATCCTACCAGTGGCTCAAGCCAGAAACCCGGGCATCATTCTTGACTGCCTCTCCCCCTTCACACTTCTATTTAACTACCAACTCTTTTAGGATCTACCTCCTCAATTCCCTGAATTTAACCACCTACAGACATACTTTCATGTCACTTCCATTCTCCCAGTAACCATCATTTCCCACCCAGACTATACCTTATGGTGTTGTAACTGGTCTCACTCCCCCGAATGTTATACCTCTCGGGGCTATTTTGAATACCACAGACAGGATAATATTTTTAAAACACACATTTGGCAAGGTAGCACCCTTGATTAAAAGCCTGAAATATTTCCACCTCACTATCCTCTCTTCCAATTCTAGCCATCCCTTAACCACCCTCTCCTCTGAAAACAAAGTAAACTGTATCATCTATGCTTAAGTTTAACTTCTTTCAAGACATGCCATGTTACATTTTTCCCTTTGCTTGAACACCATTCCATTCTCTCACCCTACAATGGTCTTCATTTGAATAAATGCTACTATTTCCTCCAAGGTACAGCTTATAAGATTGGTTTCATTGTTCATTTTACACGTCTGTGTGTACACCATGCTTTTAACACAGTTCTTGCTTTACTGTGTGTCCCCTTGACTGAAGTTTAAGGTTTGTAGAAGTAGGAGCTGAGTCTGTTTTGCTTATTTTATTCCAGCACTTTGCACATATAGTAGGCAGAATTCTAGACAGGACCCCAAATGACACTTGCCTTTGTATACTCTCCACTCCTTGAGCATAAGTGTATTATAAAAGGAATGTTCATATATGTAAGGTTAATAATCTGTGACTTCAGTTAACTCAAATGAGAGATTATCCATATGGCTCCACTCTAATCCCCATGAGGACTCTGAAAGCAGATAGTTTTCAGTGATTCGTAATAAAAGAGAGTCA